AGGACTTTGAAGTGTCACTGGGCTTCACGTCACATAAATAGTCACTAACATTCTCTCCGTAAATGTAGCTCTAAGGAGGCAGCACTGCTAAGCAGCCCTCATTCAGCCATAAAGAAAGCCCACGTTAGGAAATCAGTAGCTAGGCTACCTACCCTGTAGATCATAAGTGGAATTTCCATGTCCTTGTACTCATGAAAGTAACTAAATGAAGTCAGACGCCTAGTTGCCCTGGTTACCAATGAGCATGAGGACCTTGCAAATAGGGTTCTAGCTCTCAGTTTGTGGTCATACTGCATCTGCAACAACTTTGTTCCTCTCATAAAAATACCAACAATCCATTCTCAGTCAAGATCTAGCTAGGTCATAGCAGGTAAAGCAGTCTATACTCATGACATATAGCAGATTATAGATCAGTGACAACTAACTAGCTAAAGTTAACTATTAACTGATGTGACAGTCAGGGCATGAATGCAGCTTGAACTACTATGCATTAGCTAGCGTGCCACTTTTAGTCAAGCACCTGCATGGTAACCAATATCTGGAATGAGGAACACTGGACCAACATTTTTTTTTTAAAGTGACATGGCTCAGATACACACACACAACATTATGTGGACACCACTTCAAATTAGTGGATTTGGCTATTTCTGCCACAACCGTTACAGACAATGTATAAAATGGAGCACGCAGCCATGCAATCTCCATAGACAAACATTGGCAGTAGAATGGCCTTACTGAAGAGCTCAGTGACTTTCAACGTGGCACCGTCATAGGATGCCACCATTCCAACAAGTCAGTTTGTCCAATATCTGCCCTACTAGAGCTGCCCCAGTCAACTGTAAGTGCTGTTATTGTAAAGCGGAAACATCTAGGAGCAACAACGGCTCAGCTACGAAATGGTAGGCCACACAAGCTCAGAAGGGGTCCACTCAGTGCTGAAGCGCGGGAAAATCATCTGTCCTCGGTTGCAACACTCACTACCGAGTTCCAAACTGCCTCTGGAAGCAACGTCAGCACAACAACTGTTTGTTGGGAGCTTCATTCAATGGTTTCCATGGCAGAACAGCCGCACACAAACCTAAGATCACCATGAGCAATGCCAAGCGTTGGCTGGAGTGGTGTAAAGCTTGCCGCCATTGGCGTCTGGAGCAGTGGAAATGCGTTCTCTGGAGTGATGAATCACGCTTCACCATCTCGCAGCCCGACGGACGAATCTGGGTTTGGCGGATGCCAGGAGAATGCTACCTGACCCAATGCATAGTGCCAACTGTAAAGTTTGGTGGAGGAGGAATGATGGTCTGGGGCTGTTTTTCATGGTTCGGGCTTGGCCCGTTAGTTCCAGTGAAGGGAAATCTTAACCCTACAGCATACAATGACATTCTAGACGATTCTGTGTTTCCAACTTTGTGGCAACAGTTTGGGAAAGGCCCTTTCCTGTTTCAGCATGACAATGCCCCTGTGCACAAAGCGAGGTCCATACAGAAATGGTTTGTCGAGATCGGTGTGGAAGAACTTGACTGGCCTGCAGAGCCCAGACCTCAACCCCATCGAACACCTTTGGGATGAATTGGAATGCCAACTGCGAGCCAGGCCTAGTCGCCCAACATCAGTGCCCGACCTCACTAATGCTCGTGGCTGAAGTGAAGCAAGTTCCCGCAGCAATGTTCCAACATCTAGTGGAAAGCCTTCCCAGAAGAGTGGAGGCTGTTATAGCAGCAAAGTCTATATTAATGCCCATGATTTTGAAATGAGATGTTCGACGAGTATGTGTCCACATACTTTTGGTCATGTAGTGTATAATAACTACTATAACAACCCAAGAAATGCACTTATACTTGTATGATCATCTTGAAGGAGTGACTTGTCAGTCACCTGATCCAACTGTTGTAGGTGGGAAGCTATGAGTCCTAGCTACATAGACAATCGCTGAAAAGGGCGTTGTCGAGGAGATCTAACGTTAGCTATCATATGCTTTGGCGGTTGAGTTGTAACTAACGTTAGCTACCAAGTTAACTAGCTATCTGGTATGACAATCTAGTACACTATCTGAATCAATACACTTTGTAACATTACTCCGAAATTAAACAGCGCGGAACATTAACCAAGAACATGACAAACTAGCTAGTTAATTGACGTAACTAGCAAGTTTAGTGTATGTGACAACTTCCAAGACAAAGAGAGACATAGCAATGAGTTGCAACACATTACATTTTGGCGAAGTCCTCTAAAAGGATTAAGAGGGTCTCTTACCCATTCTAGAACCCGAATAAATCCCAGAGGTTCTTTCAACAGTCCCAGGTCAAGATTGAATCCCGATAGCAGTTTCTAAAGTTGGGGGGAAAAAACACCTGAATCATGACGGTGGTCAAGTGACATGTCAGGTAAGTAACTATTATTTTTTAAATGGTCTACTAAAATGTCACGAATGTTGGCCACCTTCACTAGCTAACGTTAACTATTAGCTAATGTAACGATAGCTCGTGTCAACCGACTTACCTGAACAACTTCCATGCTCGAGTTTCAGGAGTTTGTTCGCTATACCTGAAGAAACTTACAAATGTTGTAGCGGGTTGAACTTTCCGTTTACATTCGCTTGAACAGTTATGTTAACGTCAGCTGATGTTGTAAAACTGCTGTCAAACTTTCTAAACTGCATAGGGACACGTGACAAACAAGTTGTTGTTCTTCTTCTTCTTCTTCTTCTTCTTCTTCTTCTTTAAAGTTTTATGGCAGAATGCACCTACTGGTGTATTGCGGCCACCTACTGTACGGGCAACTTGTTCTTAAAGAGACACAGCATATTTATTAGAAATCCGAACCAGGTGCAGTCCTTTGGCCCCTGATCTTCCCATTCTTGTGCCATTTGAAAATGTGTTGTGATGTTTATAATGTAGCCACAACCCAATACCTAGCACCTTTTCAAGAGGTTCGGACCTCTTGGCTTAAAGGGATACTTTGGGATTTTGGCAATGAGTCCCTTTTATCTACTTCCCCAGAGTTGGATGAACTCGTGGATACCATTTGTGTCTCTACGTTCAGTTTGAAGGAACTTGCTAAATAGCACTAGCTCAAATGCTAACTAGCATTTGACTGAAAGTCTATCAGTATTTGCTAGGCGCTAGCACTAGTTAGCATTGGCTCGTGAAATTACCTCCAACTTCCTTCATACTGGACACAGACCAGGTTTCCATCCAACCTTTTTATGCGAGTAAAGTACATGTCGGATAAAACATGTAATGACAGGCCTGATGGAAACACATTGTTTTGGTAAACTTTCCAAATGGCGAGAAAACAAAATACGCCAATAAATATCGAGGGGATTATTCTTGTGACATAATCATTGATGCTTGGCTGCTATAATAATCTCATCATGTAGGCCAGGGGTACTCAACTCTTACCCTTCAAAGTCCAGAGCCTGCTGGTTTTCTGTTCTACCTGATAATTAATTGCACACACCTGGTGTCACAGGTATAAATCAGTCCCTGACTAGAGGGGAACAATGAAAAAATGCAGTGGAACTGGCTTCGAGGTCCAGAATTTAGTTTACGGGATGTAGGCTCTAGAGCGCACGTTCCAATACCAGAGTGGGCACACTCCCTATATTAAAATATTTTGTGAGAAAACCATCAGTGAAAATGTGATGGAAAGTCATTTGAACTCGTATTTTTTATTCGGTACATGAGAATTTAACCGCAAAAGTTATTTTTATGGGCACTATGTCATCACGTACAGCCTTTTATCTGCAACAAGTCAATTTGATGGAAACACATCTCTGGTGGGAAAATACGCATATTGTTTTTATGCAAATTTTTTAAATATTCGCATGAAAATCCATTGCCAGTTGGATGGAAACCTAGCTACTGAGACATAAAAATGGTATCCACAAGTTCATCTGGGGAAGTAGATAAAGGGCCTCATTACCAAAATCCTGAAGTATCCCTTTAACGGTTAAGGCGTTGGCTTTACAGTCGCTGGACCCGGGTTCAAGTCCCGGTCGGGGATACCCCCAAATTTGCTACACTGGTGTCAGAAGTGGGATAGAAGCCGTGGGGCCATCGGAGAAGCGTATCCACGTGAGGGACTCGGTACAGAGAAGTGTGGGGACACGCTCTACCGAAGGAAGGGGGTAGTGTAGCGACCTTAACCCAACACCTATCAACCCTATTCAAGAGGTTTGGCACTCTTGGCGTAATGGTTAATGTGTTGGCTTGACAGTCGCTGGAATCGGGTTTGAGTCCCGGTCGGGGCTACCACCCGAATTCGCTACAGTAATATAAATACAGTTCATGTTCATGTGTAAACCAATGCAGGAACAACATAACACATGGTCTGTGTGACTGAGCGATAAACAGTTTGCTAAGATTAGCATTCCTGTATAATCCATAGAATTTATAGGATTTCTGTGATAATCTCCCTGATTCCAAATCCAAAATGTTTTAAAATACAGTAAGCTAGTAGTGCAATGAATGTATTGGCCGTTTTTCGACCATGCCCTGTGATCTCCAGGGTCCAAGATCTGAAGGGCCTTCAGATTGACGTAGCAAGTCCAAATCAGGCAATACTAATGGCTATAAAACACCCCAATGGAAAACAGACATGTTCAAACACCACAAAATATGCAATAAAGATATTAATGTACAATAGTCACATTTTCTGTTTTAAGTAACAGCGTTCATACCACAACATGAACAGAGATTAAGCCTACACTTAGGGTCCAATGAGTGCCAAGAGGGAGTCAGTCCAAATATGTTTCTGAATGGATTTAATGTGTACATTGGTAAACAAGACTGTATAACAATTGGAGTCATTTTGGGCTAATGCTATTACAACTGCCACAGGACAAACACACAATTACTGTCCTACTGACTGAGTGGAATGGTAGGCATAATATCTCCTACCCCCTATAAATAAATAGCAAGAACACTTGTTTTCTAACAAAAAACAGCGATCTTTATTATTTTTTGTATTAATAGTTTGACACAAGAGAGGGTGCATCTCCCTCATAGGCCGGATAAATAGGCCCTGTGCCGATTGTGTGTTTTAAGGTGTCTGTTGACTTCGCCAGACTGGCTGAAACATTTCCCACACTCTGGACAGCTGAATGGCCTCTCCCCTGTGTGTACCCTTAGATGTGTTCTAAGTTTGGACATGTGATGAAAACTTTTCCCACAGACGTTGCACTGGTACGGCTTCTCATCAGGGTTCCTTTTCACGTTCTTCGCTGTGCATATTATTTGCCCTCTCCTGGCACTCCTTGGTCGATTTGGCTGTGGTACCTCAAACTCAGAGGGAAGTCCATCACTGTCTATCTCATTGAAATATATACCATTTTCACACTGAGCTTCAGCATTGTCTAGATTCATGGCATAGAAGGATTGTGGATTGCTTGGTTCGGATATTTCAAAGCCCTCTCCTTCAGGTTCTGGTTTGATTGCTTCAGTTTTGTTGGCGGGGAGAGACAGAGAGTTTCCCTCTCCGATCTCCACAGTTTGAATTTGGTAAACATTTAAGGGCTGAGACGAATCCTGATTATGGTCGTTTTTCACACAGGAAGGAGTGAATATGGATTCTGTATCTGATTCCAGCCCTTGAAGCTGCTCTTCCAACTGACTGGTCCTGAGCTCCTGTTCCTCTTTAAACTGTGTGGGCTCTGGGTCCTCCTGGGCCAGACTGGGGCTCCACTCTTGTTCACAGTGCTGCTGATGCTTAGGGGAAACCTCCTCATCAGAGGCTATAAGCTGAATGGGCTGTTGTGCTAGGGAAGAGAAGATAAGGAAGATATGTAGTCAGACATGATATGGTGCCTAACAGTGCACTGTTCTGACATTCGACTCTAAGCACGTACGGTACCACCATGGAGGGGATGTTAAAATTGATTTAAATTACATTGACATTTAAACGATTACATTTAAAGTAAAATAAAGATTAAACATTGTCACATTTCTAGGCTATCGGTGTGCAGCCTAACCTGGCGTAAACTGGAAAGCGACGTCCAGTAGCCCGCGAAGACGGTCATTCTCTGCCTTTGAACGAGTGATTTCTTCCTGGTACTCGAAAACAATATTTTCCACCTCTACAAATATTTCTTTAGCAGCTGCAGCTAATCTCTCACTTAAAAAGACATTTAGCAGCTTCAGCTTTGTCATTTTGTGAATAAAATACTACCGTATTGGCGTTTTAGGCAATGTTTCCAAATCGTAATCCGATGGCTAGTAAACAGTCGACAAACGTAGAATGCGTAGATTCTGGGTGCGTTCCAGATACATATTTTCGGCGAAAGTTTGCGCGTATCACAATGTGTAGTGTCATCTCAGGAAGCACATTGATATAACGATCCTACCTGGAATGCAACAGATTCTTATGACTATGGGTAAAATAGAAGGGAAATGAAAATAGGAGGAAAACTCGCTCTATATGTTACATATTTGTGTTTCACTCTCTGAACGCTAATAGGCTACCCCCATATAGACGATAATCCCTTTGGTGAGTAGAGGGATGGAATCAACACTGTTACAATGGCCATGTTGGAGCGCATCAAAACGACTGCTGACTGACTGATCTACAAATCATAAATAACACTCATTATTATTTGTAGATCAGTCAGTCAGTAACAATTTACCCATGATACATTGTGGTTTTGATCCTCTCGAACAAGGCCATTATCAGCACCTGATGGGAGCTGTATATAATGAGATGCTCATGTCTCCACCCTAATGATGGGAGTTGTTGTCCCAAAGGCGGGAAGGCTGGCGACAAGCTTAGGTTCAAAATAAGCCCATAGAAATGCATTGGCTTATTTTGGATAGATTTTGGGAAGAGTGAAACCTGGCTTTGCCTCTTCCTCTCTGACCTGATCCATGACTATGGGCTCATTTGAGTGGTAAGGCGAAAACAACCTACTGTAGATGAAAGTCGGGGGAGGTGCATCTGTGACAGCCGAAAGTCGACACTAATGTAGTTTTCCAACAGCAAGGTACAGATCAACATGGCAGTGTTGCCATTGTTTATAAAGGTTTTTCTTTATAATGTCTCTAACCCCCATATCACACACTCACAAACTAAACTCATATGTGTGTACATTGTACAGTCATTGAGAGAGCCTCAAATATCACATTCATTTGTTTATATCCACTGTATGAATAGCAGCAAAGTTGGTTCCTGTTTCAGTCTTTGGTCATGTTCAGGTGGGTCAAACAAAAACACTCTAATGATTGGTTGACAATAGAGCCTCCCACAATGCAGGTGATGGCTGCAGGATGAAGTTGGTGAAGACCAACTGCAGAAACTGGCAGTCAAAACATCATGACCTTTGATCACATGATTTTTGTAAAGTTCATGCACTCGACATGTAGACGGAAGTTGGACAATTTTTAGCCCAATAATGCAAAACACTTTGAAAGGCGTGACCACCGATGGTCAACGACTTGACAAAAGTGATCTGCTCGAACGCGCCCATTGGGCAGTCTGACATTGCAGCCGACTTTAAAGGGGTCATGTCTAGATGGGATACAGCTTTTGTCAAATTTGATGTAAAAACTATATATATTTTTGTATTATAGCTAACCCTTTCCCTAACCGTAACCTAATTCTCCTAAACCTGCTACGAAAAGTAAATGTTGACAAAAACGGTATCCCTTTAACTTTAAAGGCGAGACTGACTAATCTACAAATCACCTTGCATCATAAATAACTACTCAATATTATTTGTAGATTAGTCCGTCGATCACAATTTACCCATGATACATCACGGTTTTGATGCGCTCGAACACGGCCATTCTCAGACGCCAGATACGGCAATTTCTTTTCCATCTTTACGCTAATCCCGTAGTAGCGCCCATGTCAGCAGGATAGACGGGTGCCATTCAGAAACAACCGGTCTGTAGGTCTTGAAATCTATGCATCCTACTCAATCACTTTTTATAACTACTGTTTACAGGCCTCCTGGGCTGTATACAGCGTTCCTCACGGAGTTCCCTGAACTCCTATCGGAACTTGTAGTCATGGCAGATAATATTCAAATTGAGCCTTGCGTAATACCCTAGATGCAGTCGCACCCCTAAAGTCAAATTTGTCACAAGAAATTTGCTCCCTGGTATACAGAAAATACCCGAGCCCTGACGCAAGCTTCCAGAAAATTGGAACAGAAATGGCGCTCCACCAAACTGGAAGTCTTCCGTCTAGTTTGGAAGTACCGTGCAATATCGAAGAGCCCTCACTGCTGCTCGATCATCCTATTTTTCCAACCTAATTGAGGAGAATAAGAACAATCCAAAATGTGTTTTTGATACTGTCACAAAGCTAACTAAAAAGCAGGATTCAACAAGAGAGGATAGTGTTCACTTCAGCAGTGATAAATTCATGAAATTCTTCGATGAAAAAGATAATGATGAATCTGCTATTTCTCCAAAGCTCAGTTGTCCTGAGTCTGCACAGAACTGCCAAAACCTAAGATCAATGGAGACACTCAAGTTTTTTAATCCTGTATCTCTTGACACGTTCATGAAAATAGTCATGGCCTCTAAACCGTCAAGCTGCATACTGGACCCTATTCCAACTAAACTACTGAAAGAGCTACTTCCTGTGCTTGGCCCTCCTATGTTGAACATAATAAATGGCTCCCTATCCACCGAATGTGTACCAAACTCACTAAAAGTGGCAATAATAAAGCCTCTCTTGAAAAAGCCAAACCTTGATCTCCCATTCCTCTCAAACATTTTAGAAAAAGCTGTTGCGCAGCAACTCACTACCTTTCTGATGACAAATAATGTATACGAAATGCTTCAGTCTGGTTTTAGACCCCATCATAGCACTGAGACTGCACTCGTGAAGGTGGTAAATGACCTTATAATGGCGTCAGACCAAGGCTCTGCATCTGTCCTCGTGCTCCTAGACCTTAGTGCTGCTTTTGACACCATCGATCACCACATTCTTTTGGCGAGATTGAAACCCTAATTGGTCTACACTGACAAGTTCTTGCCTGGTTTAGATCTTATCTTTCGGAAAGATATCAGTTCGTCTCTGTGGATGGTTTGTCCTCTGACAAATCAATTGTACGTTTCAGCATTCCTCAAGGTTACGTTTTAGGACCACTATTGTTTTCACTATATATTCTTCCTCTTGGTGATGTCATTCGGAAACACAATGTCAACATTCACTGCTATGTGGACGACACACAGCTGTACATTTTGATGAAACATGGTGAAGCCCCAAAATTGCCTACCCTGGAAACTGTGTTTCAGACATAAGGAAGTGGATGGCGGCACTTTTTTACTTTTAAATTAGAACAAAACAGAGATGCTAGTTCTAGGTCCCAAGAAATTTGATCATATTACTCCATATTACTCCAATGCTAGCTTCCTGTTAAGGCTAGAGCTGATTTCAAGATTTTACTGCAAACCTACAAAGCATTACATGGGCTTGCTTCTACCTATCTCTCCGATTTGGTCCTGCCGTACATACCTGCACAAATGCTACGGTCACAAGACGCAGGCCTCCTTATTGTCCCTAGAATTTCTAAGCAAACAGCTGGAGGCAGGGCTTTCTCCTATAGAGCTCCATTTTTATGGAATGGTCTGCCTATCCATGTGAGAGACACAGACTCGGTCTCGACCTTTAAGTCATTACTGAAGACTCATCTCTTCAGTAGGTCCTATGATTGAATGTAGTCTGGCCCAGGGGTGCGAAGGTGAACGGCAAGGCACTGGAACGACGAACCGCCCTTGCTGTCTCTGCCTGGCCGGTTCCCCTCTCTCCACTGGGATTCTCTGCCTCTGACCCTATTAAGGGGGCTGAGTCACTGGCTTACTAGTGCTCTTCCATGCCGTCCCTAGGAGTGGTGCGTCACTTGAGTGGGTTGAGTCACAGACGTGATCTTCCCCTCCGGTTTTGCGCCCCCTCAGGCTTATGCAGTGGAGGAGATCTTTGTGGGCTATACTCAGCCTTGTCTCAGGGTAGTAAGTTGCTGGTCTGTTGATATCCCTCTAGTGGTGTGGGGGCTGTGCTTTGGCAAAGTGGGTGGGGTTATATCTTGCCTGGTTGGCCCTGTCTGGGGGTATTGTCGGACGGGGCCACAGTGTCCCCCAACCCACCCCTGTCTGTCTCCAGTATCTGTGCTGCAATAGTCCATGTGCCGGGGGGACTAGGGTCAGTCCGTTATATCTGGTGTATTTCTCCCGTATTATCTGGTGTCCTTTGTGAATTTAAGTATGCTCCCTGTAATTCTCTCTCTCTCCCTCTCTCCCTCCCCTCCCGGAGGACCTGAGCCCTAGGATCATGCCTCAGGACTACCTGGCCTGATGACTCCTGGCTGTCCCCAGTCCACCTGGTCGTGCTGCTGCTCCAGTATCAACTGTTCTGCCTGCGGCTAGGGAACCCTGACCTGTTCACCAGACGTGCTACCTTGTCCCGGACCTGCTGTATTCGACTCTCTCTACCGCACCTGCTGTCTCGACTCTGAATGCTCGGCTATGAAAAGCCAACTGACATTTACTCCTGAGATACTGACCTGTTGCACCCTCTACAACCACTGATTATTATTTGAGGCTGCTGGTCATCTATGAACGTTTGAACATCTTGAAGAACAATCTGGCCTTAAATGGCCATAATCTCCACCCAGCACAGCCAGAAGAGGACTGGCCACCCCTCAGAGCCTGGTTCCTCTCAGCGGCAGGGACTGGGAGACTAGTCAGGATCAAGGGAAAGGTGAACAGAGCAAAGTACAGAGAGATCCTTGATGAAAACCTGCTCCAGAGTGCTCAGGACCTCAGACTGGGGGGAAGGTTTACCTTCCAACAGGACAATGACCCTAAGCACAAAGCCAAGACAATGCAGGAGTGACTTCGGGACAAGTCTCTGAATGTCCTTCAGTGGCCCAGCCAGAGTCCAGAGTTGAACCCGATCGAACATCTCTGGAGAGACCTGAAAATAGCTTTGCAGCGACGCTCCCCATCCAACCTGACAGAGCTTGAGAGGATCTGCAGAGAAGACTGGGAGAAACTCCCCAAATAAAGGTGTGCCAAGCTTGTAGCACAGTAGCGATTTTAGAGCATACATCTTGGTGGGGCAAACAAAAACAAACATTTGGGGATGCATGCCAGCAAAGCCACTGCACAACACAACACTAAACAATACATGAATTGCACTATAACGGTGACAAACGGTGCCCACAAACTGTTAGGGCCTACATAAAGCTGTCCCAACAGCAGAGTCCCAACAGCAGTCCCAACACCTTACTACTGCTACACCTGGCT